ACTCTCAGATGTAGACGCAAGAAAACATTTATTGTAGCTGTTCTTACGGGATAGCGTCGGAGCCGTTTGAAAACATCCGACTCCACTGCTGTTCCTTTCCACATCCCATACAGTGGGACAGGACTTAGCATGTCGAGCGTGTCCCAGTACTGGGTCTTTCGTTTCACCTTGTCAAGGTACTCATCAGAGAAGCGGTCCTTAAAAAACTTAATCGCTGCTTCAATTTCTTTGTAGAATTTTAAGATCCGCGAGCGGGAAGATCCAGCCTCACCTTCTAGCCACTGTCCTAAAAAATTACCTCCGAGCACTCTGAAGGAGGATAAAACAATGTCGCTCCTCTGACTTCTGAAAAACATAAAACGGTGAACTTTTAACTTAAGTTCAACGTTTACTAACCCCAGGCCGCCTTTCTTTTGGGTCAAAAACAAGTTGTCGCGTCTCATGCGCTCAAACAGTGATTCCCACACAAAGATGGCAAGAAAACGGCGCACTTTGCAAATCTCACTTTGTGCACACGGTCCCTCTTGGGCTGGATACCATATGGTTGGAAAAAAAAAAACAGCATTGCTAACAAAAGCCCGGGTAGGCAGAGGCATCTGCCTACCGTGCCACTCTAACACTTTGACATTTAGACGGTTCATATCGATTCCACCACGTCCCGTGCTGAGACGCTCCGGCTTCAAATTCACTCCTAAATAGTTCGTCACCAAGTCCGCAAAACTTATGCCAAGAAATGGTTCCGGCTTGGAGTCCCATTCGCCGAGCCACGCTCCCTTTGACTTCCCCGCGTTCATTTGGTAACCGGAGGCAGTGAAGAAGGCGCCGATATGTTGAACCGCCACCTGCACTTGACTTTACGAAGAGCAGAGCACTGTTAAATCGTCCGCATACGCAAGCACATTTACGGAGCCTCCCGGCAGAGTTAGTCCACGGATGTTCACGTTACCCGCTATAGCTCTGCACAGAGGTTCGGTGTAGAGCGCGAACAAAATGGGCGACATTGGGCACCCCTGTCGCTCCGATCTGCTGATGGGGATGGAGGCAGTCCTGTTTCCGTTCACAAGCAGGCAAGTCGACACGTCCCGGTAGCACAGCTTCACGTACTTCAGAAGCCGCGCTCCAACCCCGCAGATCTCTAGAATGCCGAAGAGGAATGAGTGCGATACACGATCGAAGGCCTTGCTCAGGTCCACTTGAAGTACTGTGAGGGGCTGGGCGAGGACCTACGCCGCTTCGCATGCGACTTGCATGGTGTGCAGATTTGTGGCGATAGTCCTGCCCTTGAGGCCGTAGGTTTGGTGTCCGCCTACGACGTCACGTAGGCCAGCGTGCAGCCGTCTGGCTATTACCTTGGCCAGCACCTTGTAATCCGTGGTCAGAAGGCTGATGGGACGAAAGCTGTCCACACTGGGTTCTCCCCCACTATGCTTCTTCGGTATGAGAACTGTCAGAGCCTGTCGCATGGATGATGGCATCAGATTCCGTCGCCGAATGTCTTCGAAGACGTCACAGAGGATCGGGGCAAGTTCGCTCAGGAACGTCTTGTAGAAAACGCCGCCTAGACCATCGATCCCCGGAGACTTCCATCGGGCGAGTTTTTTGACGGCCCACTCGATTTCTGCGACGGAAATCTTCTTGTTGATTTCCTCCCGCAGCTCCTCCGACACCTTCGGAAGCGGCACTCCGGGTACCCGGAGCGGCTGAAGGTGATCTTTTTCCGTAAACAAATCCTTGTACGCTGAGACGAAAGCGTTTTCAATATCTTCTTGCTCTGTCAGAATGGTATCCAGGACTCGGAGTGACGTAACGCGCTTCTGAGCAGAGCGCTGCCTTTCCTTTTTTTTTATAAACTTTTCTTGGTTTTTCATCTCTTTCCAACGCAAGCGTGCGACACCGGATCATTGCTCCCCGGTACTGCTTCTCGAGTATTTCGAGAAGTCGTCCCTTGCAATCTTTGATGTCTTCAGTGAAGACGCCAGGAGTCTTGTTCTCCTCTTGAAGTCCCCTTTGCCGGGATTGCTCCCCGTCGATGCCGCGGGAGCCAAAGCAGGGGGGCCCGTCGGAATTGGTAGCGTCTGCTGCTTCTCAGGCGGCGCACTCTCAGCTTCCGTTTGACCCGGCGTCGTAGTCGGTACTTCGACGACGTGCTCCGCGCCCTCTGCTGCCTTTTCAGCCTCCTCCTCGTCCATTTCGAGGCTTCACGCTTCATTCTCGACGGCTGCCTCGGTGACGGTGGCATACGTCACCGCACAGTTGACGCGCTCGTGCCCGAAGCGTCCACACTTTTCGCACTTCGGTACGCGACACTCGCGGCGTATGTGCCCTGTGCCCTTACACCGGAGGCAGAGCGGTGAGCGCCCTGGTACAACCACCAAGACGTTCCCGCCGGCGATCCTCAACTGATGTGAAAGGCGGTCCAGGGGTACGCCCTCCTTTGGGCTTAGCCGAGCCAGCCTAGTCGTGGACTGGATGCCCGCGAAGCCATCGGCTCTCCAGACGTCACGCGTGATTCCGTTCACCTTTCCGAAAGGCTCCAGGGCCTTCCGCAGAACCTCGTGGGTGACGTGAAAAGGAACCCAGCGCAGCTTCACGTGAACATCCGCGTTGTCGGGGTCGATGATCACACAGCGCTTGCCTTTTATGGAAAGCTCCGCCGCCTCTACCACACGCCGCTTAGATTCCGCCGTCTTCAGAGAGAGCATCCAGACGTGGTTCATCTGGTAGTCTCCAAATGCGTCGATGTCGGCCATCACGTCCAGGCGCTCCAGCTCTGCCCGGAAATCAGAAATCTTGTATGGTCTTCCGGAGACGTCGCCATGAAGTAGAACGGAGTTCAGCGCAACACTTCTTGAAGGAAGCGGGGGCAGAACGACACCTTAGTCGTCGGTGGAAGCAAAGACAGAGTTTCCGCGGCCTGCGAGGGCCGTTATCACCGCTCCTTAGGAGAGCATGATTACACAACCGTCGCTGGTGAGCGCCGTGCGTGGATTGACTCGGCCACCGATCCCCCTATGCCCCTAGGCTTGCTAGAAATATCCTCTCGGCTGAGACTGTGAGGCTGGGGGAAAGAAAGCACTGCCAAAGCTATAGCGCACGAGCTGAGTGGGACTCAAGCCGCGTCTCAAGATGCTCGCGCGCCCCAGCCTTTGTAGTACTTTCTTTCCCTCAGTCTTAGAGCAGACCATAGCATCGTCTATTGGCGACGTGAGCGATCGAAAGCGTCGCTGTGGTCGGCCTGCAACAATTGGCCGACTGCTGACAATGACGTCAGCAAAGGATTTCTCATCTACGGAAATAAGAGGAATGGAAGAACCTCAATTTGGGCGGTGTTGGCAGTGTTGCTTTGAGAGCGCTATGATTTCAGGCTTCCACCATGCCCATTACAAACACCATCGAACTTGTTGTTCACAAGGTAATGACGTCACGAAAGGTAACCGAACGAGGGCGCCATCGAAACATCTCGCCGGTAATACTAACAAAGCCTGACAGTTTGACGACGGAGCCATAGAGTGCCCGGTCGCAGATTTCGAGCGCGAGGATCTGGTAACACAGAGCATTTTTCGGGTAACGTGGACGCCAGCGCACAGCTTTTGCAGCGGTGAGGACCCGAAACATGGTTTTCGAATCCGACGAGAAAACGAAGCGGTAGCGCGTGGAACGCGAGTAGCATGAGCGGACATTCCATCGCTCGGGAGAAGTGTGTTTCGGCGCCTCGCTGCAGCAAAACGCCCGTCACGTGACTTTCTTTTTTTTTTAAAGGGGGGGGGGGGGCGTGTTTGTTTTGCAGACGCTCGTTGCAAAGAGCAAGCGCCGCATAAATACATACATACAAACATACTGTAATGAAGGGTGTTATGAATGAGCCCCAGACCATTTCCTAATGTCCGCATCGGGCCGTTTTGTTTCGTCGAACGCCTCCCGCGGGTTCAAGGTCATCTGACTCAGCGAGCCTGGCACCATCATCGCTTCGGAAGCACGCCTGCCCAGCGAACGCACAAGACGGGCGCCGTGATATATCCAGACTTTAATGTGTACAAGTCTGGATATAGCCTCCGAAGAGGAGAAAAAAACGTCTCAGGTTTCACCGCCTAAACACCAGGGCACGGTCCGGGGCGATGAGATCATCCGGACCCCTTCATTCAACGCGTAGACACGAAGGGTCGAAAGGCGGCACGTCACGTCACGGCCACGGACGGTGTTTTGACCAGCTGCGAGAATTCCAACGAGTCGGTGTTTTGGTGAGACTCTCGGCGCCGTCTAGACCGACGGTGAAGTGTTTACGGCGGCTGAGTGTGCGTGATCATGGAATGTGGGGCGGTGTTTGAACTGGACACCTTTCTGTGATTGGCCGACTATCCACCGATGTGGGGGTCCCTACATAGGGACCTAGGGAGAACCAAGTGTTTAAAATGAGCGAACTTTGACAAGCAAATTTCTTCTCTTCTCTGGTCTTGAACCAACTGTACAAATGTAAATTAAACATCTATCGTAAAGTAACCCGGCTTCCGAGGCCCATCTTCCTGATGTCCTGGTCGGCACCTGGCTCCGGCGGAGTCCGACAACAAGGTCTACCCTGGGTTCGCTACAATACATACTCTCATCCATTGTCGGCCGTTCCACCTTTTCCATTTCGGCGGCCGCTACTCGGGGCGATCTGCCAGGCTTTGTCAGTACAGAGAAGGCTATGCTCAGACGCTGTTTCTAGCAAGCGGGCCAAGGTGTTTTCCCCTCTTGAAAGCCTACTGCTTTCGAGCTTGCCAAACTACTCGCTCCTCCGGACACCAGTAAAAATGACGATATAGAAAGATCGTCATGTATTTTTGTTATGTGCCCCTGTGTTAACGCTTTGTGTCACGAACTTGGCAACATTGTGAGGTTTTTAGTGAAAACGGTATTAAATAATTAGTCTTCGCAATATTAAAAAAACAAAGAAAAACTAGTAATTCGCATTGGATTATCTAAGGATATCTCATTTGTATTTGATTGTTCGCAAGACTTACCTGAGATCCATGGAGTTTGCAATATATTTCTCCGGCTGGATCAATATCATGGTTGCAGTGATGTCTAACCCCAGACGAAAATCCCTCTGAAAAAAAAAATGTTATGAAGGTACAACCAGGCAAGGAGATTATTGTGAGTTTTATTAGAGCTCTGTTTGTGTCCTCCTTCATCCAGTCCGTCGTTTTTTTTTCTGTCTTAATCTTTTAAGTATTTAGTATCACTAATACAAGCAAACACAAGTATGCTGATAATAATCCCTAGAGAAGAGGAACAAGGGGACAAAATACCAACACATATCTCCAAACACAGAAATCTCCAAACACAGTTTGGAGACTGGTCTTTGTTCCTTTTACCCCTTGTTTTCTTTGTCCAGAGGTTATTATGGTTATTCTTGTCCAGGTCGCTTGCACCTTTGCATTAATTCCATTATCTTAGCAAGCACTGTGCGTTTGCGTTAGCATTGTATCAAATGCAAGTACCTTTCTAAGAATGTTGGCACAAGTTCGCCTAATTAAATCTTTATTTTAAGTTCTACTTTCGCTAGTCATTTTTATTCGTAACCATAATCATTTTACGTTATCCAACAAATCATCGTGATGGCAGACTTTCAAAGTAGGTTGTCTGCACAAAAGGTTCTATTATATCGATAAACATTATCATCCGTTATTTCGAGCTACACATGAGGCGCAGTTTTAATAACTGATTGCTTGACAATTGACTCTCGCAGCTGCAGCTGCCAAAACCGCAATATTTTGGGGGTCGCGACGGCTTCATTTGTGACATCAAGATAATACAATTCCCTGAACGAATGTAATAGACGAAAAATTAGCAGCAAAACAGTGTAGCATATATGAAACTCTAAAGGTGTTCTGAGGAGGTTTCTGAGATGGCCTAAATATGGCGATAACTCACTCTGGTGGTTATAACTATTCTAAAAATTCCTAAATCATTACAATTTAACACAGTTAGACAATTATTGCAGTATTACGTTCCCTCTAGCAAAAAAAAAAAAAAATCTTTTTTTCGGCCGCCCTTATATGTTTTTATCATTTATCATTTACGAAACCATGCACATTATGTAATTACAGAGTTTGCAATCTCAACGAAATGTCAGTTTTCACTGGTTACATGCCGTACTGGCGGCCGAAACATTGCTCCTACCATCGACGAGATGACTTTGGTGTGTTCGATCTTTGTTTGCTTTTTGAATAGAGAAATCGACCGCGCATTTTAAATGGTATGCGATGCACTGACTTCCTTCGGGTCCGATGTATATTAACACAGCTTGTTTCAACCTCGTCGGACGCCTGACGCTCTAAAAAATTTGTTTCAACATCAAACGACGTTCACAGAACACCGATGGCATCTAATCACACGTGTTTCTTAAAGAAGTAAAGCTGGCAAAATATTTCGAGAAAAATCAGAAACACAATCTTATGTTTGTTCAATGGCTGCAATTTTAATATGACTTACCGCCTTGAAATGTCGGTAGAATAAGAACCACGGCGAAAAGTACGAGCAGCATGATGCTTATATTACGATACATAATCCCAGTCAAACGGGAACGTCCTTCTAAAAGAGAAATAATAACATAAATAGAGCCTCGGAACTTGACAGCGCAATTTTGTTTTCGGAATGTAGAGGCAACTCGTTTAAAGGAAACCTTCTGCGAAACATTAATGGCCATTGATTTTTATAAATTATTCACCGTGCACTAAGTATTTACTCCTAAATGAGTATACAAAGTATCTCATCAAAATATTTATTTAGTTTTGGTAAAACATTTTTTTTAAATTTACGCGTCCGAATCACTAACTGTCGCTCTGCTGGCAACACTGAGCAGTGGCGGCATTGATTGCGACGTCAAATGTTGTATCCAAGAGTAGACCCTTCTTCCTCGTTGTGTGTTGTAGAAATTGGAAGTGCGCGACAAAACAGTGGCGCCACGGTGCAGCTCTTCGCAAAAGCATATCGTGTTGAACGCGACCAGACAAGCATAGACTTTCTGTGTCACAGCCGCCCTAGCACAGGGCTACGTTCAAGGTCGCACTTCGCGCTAACCTGTTTTACGCGAGACCTCAAACTTGAGAACACAGATCCCCTCCATGTGCCGGCCAAAACCGCCGCGATCATCTCAATTCCGGCACGTCTACGCAATGCGCCGGCAAGCGAAGGGCAATTTGACCATTAAGAGGAGCGAAAAATACTTCCCACGTAAATTTCATCAATCACTGGCTCTAATGAACGTCGTCTTGTAGTAATTTCCAGAGCGCCGCGAACACAAACGCTTTGCAGAGGCATATTACAGAGCAGATAAAAGAAAAGGATGGGTTCGTGTTGCCGCGTTGCCGCTAACAACGGGAAGACACGCTGTGCGGAGTGCAAGGACGTCTGCTACTTTTGCAGGGGTTGTGATGACGTCAGAACACTGAGCTCCGATTTGCTCTGATTAAAGGATAGTGGGTGGACCTCAAAGCAGGCTGCCTCAACGTCTTGCCCCTATCCTTCAATCAGGGCCAATCAGAGCTCGGCGTCTGACGTCCACACAACCCCTGCGAAAGAAGCCGACGAAATTAACATGTGCTCCACATTGAACCCGGCCCTTACAAAAAAACGAATTGACTTTCACTTGAAAGTGTAATGGACTCACTCAATAGACCGCATTCAGTCTGAATTGAAACTTAATTGACTTTTTTTATTGAGTCGCTATTGATCCGTCCCAGGGTATTGGCCACTGAGTCTCTACTGAATTTTTAGCAATTGCATTTCAATGGAATTTTGGCAATAGTGTTTCAATATAACTTTTGCTATTGAGTTTTAATAAAAATATTGCAATTGACTTTCAATTGAATTTTTGCAACGTGCTTCAATAGAATTTATTGCTACTGCGTTTAAAAACCTTTCCCTGGTTGAGAATTTGCTTTGTATAATTCTTTAAATCATGCATCATGAAGGAAACAAAGCACATAGAGGAAAAGAACACAGACACCGTAACTAAGCACTCACAACCCACTAATCGTACTCCCCTTGACTACCCCACCGCCTTATATACCCTACATAAGAAAGGTATTCATGTGGCCGGTGACCACCTCAGCATCTACTAAGGTTCCCAGTTTGCTATTTCCTCCTTGGCAGTCTCATAAATGATAAACATTGTTTCGACGTCATTGGGCTCTATCCCTTAATAGAAAAACATTGGTAAAAGCAATAATCGTTCACTGCCCACGGGTGCAGTAATCCAAAAAAGACCGAACTCAATTGCATTCCTAAAGAGTAAATTCAATAGAATCGATATTGACTTTCTTATGACCAAACTCATTTGCAATCCTAAGGAGTAAATTCAATAGGATCGATATTGAGTTCATTCTGACCAAACTCAATTGCATTCCTAATGAGTAAATTCAAAAGAATACATATTGCATTTCTAATGAGCAAACCCAATTTCATTCTTAATGAGCAATTTCAAAAGAATATATATTCAGATCTTAATGACCAAACTCAATTACATTCATAATGAGTAAATTCAATAGAATCGATATTGACTTTCTTATGATCAAACTCAATTGCATTCCTAATGAGTAAATTCAATAGAATCAATATTGAGTTTCTCATGACGAAACTGAATTGCCTTCCTAATGAGTAAACTCAATTGAATCGATATTGAGTCCTTAATGACCAAACTCAATTGCATTCCTAATGAGTAAATTCAATAGACTCGATATTGACTTTCTTATGATAAAACTCCATGGCATCCCTAATGAGTAAAATCATTAGAATTGATATTGAGTTTCTAATGATCAAACTCAATTGCATTCCTAGTGAGTAAACTCAATAGAATCGATATTGAGTTTCTTATGATTAGTCTCAATTGCATTCCTAATGAGTGAATTCAATAGAATCAAAATTGAGTTTCTAATGATCAAACTCATTAGACATTGAGGTTATATTGAGTTTCAATTGAATCGATAGGAACACAGTAGAAAGTCAATTGAAACTCATTGAACATTTTTGTAAGGGATAGTGCAACTCCTGCGGGTCGAATGAAGTAAGAACACAAGCAGAGAATGCGGGATTAAGGTAGGTTTTAGAACTTCAAGGTGTCACACCTTCACTGCGGAGCGAGATCGAGAAACACGTCCGCGGGAAGGCCCAGACGCGGCGAAGATGCTGCGGGCAGAGGTCCGAGCGGGTACAGCCTCACTGAACTTTGACGCTGCCTACGTTGATGGCGCTGCCAACCATTGGCTTCCCGTGTGGCTTCCCGCGCCCCGTCTAGGTCTGGAACGCTCTCATTAATGAGCTCCTGTTAGCTTTGCGAGCTCTGTCAGGTATGCGATGTAGAGATGGGGGGGGGGTTTGACACCCTGCTAGGGGGTGAAACAACACCGCGAAAAAATGCAGCAGAGTGTCACATCACCGGTTCCCGACCGACAACTGTCTGGAGTGGAAGTGGGCATGGCCAGTGCGACGCGAACGCCGGCTCTCAGCGTTCGCGTCGTGCTAGCAAACAGTTCGAACCAGGTTAGCGAGCAAAACCTTAAATACCATTCCACTCTCGAGGTTGCGTTTGTGTCCACATGTCGTCGAATTGCGAATGCAACCTTAAAAATCCTATGGGAATGAAAGAAAAAAAGGTAAACAGCCCGAATAGGAAAAGTATGTCTTAAAATTAATTTAGAACGAACAAATAAATAATTTAGAGCCATATTTACCGCGCGAAACAAATTTGTAGTTGGCCCCCGCGGGAGCCGCCCCTAACCACGTGGTAGACCTGTGCGTCCACACGCTATAGACCTTTCCAGCGGCAGTCTCGAACGAAGCGATTTCCAGCGCGCATCCCTGGTTTTGAGAGTGTACGTCAGTGTTGCCCGACTGCGCTGAGCTGTGGGTTTTCTCGTCAGTAGGCTGTGGCAGCCTGCGTAGGAGCAATTTCGAACGCTGGTGGCGGCAAAATCGCCTCGCTTTATTTTTTCTTTTGTGTTCTATGGCGAAGAGAATTTCTCGAAATTATTAGGAAAGCGTGGAACTATTTTTGAGAACAAAAACAAACAAATGAAAGCTATTTTTGGTGAGTCCGTGCGCGACAGAACAAATGCAACTAGGATGTTTGTTTCATTTTATGTTGTTCTTTTTAACGGCACCATACACTCAGCCGTGTCAACCTACAAAGATCTTAACTGCCTAACATATTTGACCACACCAGAGGATAGCCGAATTGCATGGGTATTGCCCCCTCGCATGAAATTCAACGAGTCTCATCAATCGAACAACATATATTGTACGTACCCCTCGGTGCCGCGTTATCCGAACAGGATTTGAGAAAGGTCTGATATAACACAGCATATCCAATATACAGTGTCGACGATAGTCACTTCACGACGATCGGATGGAATCCGGCTTGTCTTGGGGTACGTTTTGAAAAGTGATGTTTTTTTACACAGCACTAAAGCAAATGAACGAACGTGTCTATTTAGTTCCCATACCCCGGACCCTATCAGCTACTTTTCGCCAAGACCGGGAACGTAGCCGGGAAAGCTTTTCGGAGATTATCTCAACGGAAATAATCCTCGAAGAACGTCGAACGGCCTGCGTCGCGGGCTGCTTGACGTTCGCTTTCTTCGCTCGCTCTCTTCGTTCGTTTCCTGCGAAGGTCCAGCAGGCTACAAGCCTGATATTCCCTTGTTCTCACAGTGGAAGATTACAAAAACACGCAAGCATCCCGGCGAACTCCGAACACACAATGCAGGTGGGGAGTCGCGCTGACCGGGTTTCCACAGCTCAGGCGGGTGGCAGAAATTTTTGGCTGATAGGGGTCGCTCGAGTCGCAAAATGGCGGCGGCCAGCGAGCTGTTTCTGCAAAGGTCTATATACGGCGCCGTTGTCGCAAGTTACGGCGGAGCCGTTCAGCCCGCGCTGAAATCCCGAGAACTAGAACCCCCACGCCGCCGCCACACACTGAGCTTTGCACGCCGTCGGCTGAACGCGCTTCTCCGCGCCGCTCATAGAGAAATATAGTACTACGTAAAGAGCGGACACTTACATAGGCCCCAGCGGCCCAATTCAGCGTCAGCGAGCGCAGCCAGTGGCCAGTATAGTCCCTAGTTGAGTGTTGAATGGGTGGATACACGCAGTAACCGCTGGCCAGTTTAATGAATGGATTCAAGGCGAATTCCGGCGGTATTTTGTATCGGGCAGTAGCATGCGCCCTCTAGTTTAGCGAGTCAGTGTTATTCTACCCAGCATGGTTTTTGTTTAAAATGGAATTGTTTTATAGCATACCTTAATTGTACTGCAGAACAAAAGTCATCCAGCGCTTCATATAATTCAAACTGACCGCACACCGAAAAGGATATTTTCACATTTGTGTTAACTCTCTTGAAGGGACGACATGCGACGACACAAGGGATTGACACACAAAGGTATTTATTTAAGCAACTAGGACAAGCAAAACAAACATCAACTCTGAAGATAAAGAGTGGTGTATGTTATTCATACATTACAAACTTAAGATTACACATGCAAAATGTATGAAGAACGCGTCAACGG